GAGAGAGAGAGAGAGAGAGAGAGAGAGAGAGAGAGAGAGAGAGTGTTTCAGATCTAACGCATTACCTGCTAATGGCAGATTCCTGAAGTTATTTTGAGACTTGAGTGTGTAAATAAATAAGAATAAAGAAACAATCGAAAATTGAATAAGTTTCTAACTGTAATTTATTCTTATTTACTTATTTATTGATCTATCCATTTATTCATATATTTATTAATTAATATAAAAAATTATAATAAAATTTTAATTAGGAAAATATATAATAAGCGAGCAGCTCTGTGACATGCTGCTCTCCTGCGTATTCCGATTGAGTGCAATCTGATTGATCAACTTTAATTAACTTTTTCATTAATAACTCTGTAAATAATAATCAAGTTACCAAAATTAGGAAAGAAACTTTTAGTTCAAAATTTTATTATCTTTCATTCCAAGAAACATTATACCGTTTTTGGCCCGACTAGGTTTGCATCAACCTGGGTTGGAAAATGCTTTGCTATCGGTTACACGTTCTACCAATAGGAAAGCACGAAATATTATTAATTCAACCCAGGTTGGTGCAAATCAATGTAAACCCGATCAGGCCGAAAACGCCATTAATTAAGAGTTATGGACAACCTGTATACATACACAAGTAATCGCATTTTATGAAACTTTACTTATGTACATTAATTTTAAAATATGTATATTTATAATTAAAACTTGAGCTTATGTAAAAATATTCATAACAAAATGCAGGATGAACAATAAGACGTGCCTAATAACAAAAAATGTACAATAAAAACAGCATTTAATGGAAGTATCTAATGAAGTTTTATTTACAAATCAAGGCATTAATTTTACATTCACACGCATAATCCTTTCTCTACTCTCACTCATGTTAAAATTTTTAACCCGTTCAAGGTCATAAAAAATATAAAAAAGTAATTATTTTCCACATGTTTTACTTTTCTCGAGTTATTTTTAATTTTCTCATTTATGTCAAGTGTACTTTCCATAAATAATGTCTGTCAAGGAGAAAATCCTTGTAGTTACTTTCATTTAATCCTAGAATACTAATAATATATAATAAAAAAATAGCATGTAAATTTAGTAGTTTTTCTTTTCCTTCCGTTTTGTTTTTCTTACCCATTAAATTTATTTCTAATGAATATTTACTTTGGTATTTTTTTAGGAAAAAATCTCAACATACGTAAATTTAACGTATGATTACTCTTAAAAGTATGATTAGTATTCTAAGATTAACGCTGCATTTAGCGTTAAATGTGGTCAATTGATCCTGAACTTTAAAGCGGTAAAATAATCGATTCAGCTATATATATAGAGCAATAGTTCGACGTCAAAGAGGCAAAGGAATCTCGAGAAATTCCTCTGTGGTGACCTATGCTCTTATAAAAGCACATAAAATCATGACAATTTGAAGGGTAAAATTTCTTAGATAAAATAAAAAAAATTTAAAAAGATAAGATGAAAGAGAGAGAGAGAGACTTCTAGATTGAATGATATATAACATGACCTACTATTATATTTAGAATATTTTTACAAGATTTCGAAGCCGATATTTCTCGGTAGGATTCAGTTTGAAGAGATTCATTGACGCAACGATGTCAACTTTTTTTTTGCTTGTTTAAGCAACATTCTAAAATCGTAAAAAATGTAATTACAAATCGATGACTAGGATGATAGAATAATCTGAGGCACGGTTGTGAGACAATGTATGCGATTAATCAAATTTTATAATACAAATAATTGTACTTAATGTATAAATAATTATACTTAAATATACCTATTTATATATTAATTTGGAAATTGCGCCATCAAGTATAATTATTTGTACAAGTATATTTTTATAAATCTCCATATACCTTAGCAATAACTATACTTGATAGCAAATTAATTTGTATAAATAACACTTGCACTTGATAGCGACTTCCAAATCGATTAAAAAATCATTATCCAGTATAATCATTTGTATCACAAATTTAATTATTCGCACGCACGCGTCTCGACCGATTTGTGACTATATTTATATGTTAGTAAGTCAAACAAATTAATTTGTTTAATTATATCGTAAAAAAACTATTTGCAATCATAATTATATATAGCAAATCAATTACTTGTATGTATTACTTATCAAATTAACAACCACACGTCAATCATTATAAACCAATTTCTTCTAAATTTGTTTCTCCATATTTTCACGATAAAAAGTAGAAAATGAAGATAATATGGGCTTTTTTCAAGATTTTAACACTATTTTAAGTTTTCTTTCATGATTGTACATGCTTTTGTACGATTGTCTTGATAGATCTCTTTGTAAAGTTACAAAATATACAGGTGAAAACGGTAGGCTGTTGTGTCGCCCAAACTAGCGGTACAAAGATCCGCTATAATTATCGGTACAAAGATCACAATCAACGTGATCGAGGACCACCGTACGTAGTTCATATTTAACGCTACATGTGCGGTGCTGATAAGAACTTGTTTGCAAGCAAGCTTAGTTCGTATCCGCGATCACGAATAATCGCTGAACATGACTGCTCATTAATACTCTATACGGTATTTAATTACCGGATATAAAGGTCGCGGTTAAGCGAGGATAACGAAGGCTGAAGGTGTGACCAACCACATTTACTGCTAATTGTGCAACGCGAATACGTGCCAGTGGTTTCGAAAAATCTATATTCACATTCTTGTTTGGCGTCACCGATCTCAACACGACTATCCAATTCTGATTTCATTTGGGTAAGGATAGCGTAGGGGATATATACATTTACATACGCATGTATATAATCTTAGGATTCTATTCTGGGATATAATCGCAGATAGCCGCATTTTGTGCCAAAGCGCCATCGATGTGAACATAGGATCATGCTACTTTATTGCGATGCAAGTGGCTATACGGGCCTTCAACGGGTTAACAAGAAATTACGAGAAAAAAATTTATACAATTCGCACAGTAATGATAATAATAATAATAATAATAATAATAATAATAACGATAATAATAATAATAATAATAATAATAATAATAATACAATTGTTTCTAATTTTATACGACGCGACGCGCAATTCAAAAGTCGCGCGTCTTCTTATCTACTTATTTTTTTATTTCGCGTTTTTTTTTTAAAGAAATTTTCTCGGAACTCTGTATAAAATTCTCGGCTCAACTTGAAACGCTGCAACGGCCGTCACTCGGCGAAAGCCTCGAACGCTATTTTTTCTTTTCTTTTTACGCATTCGTACAATACATATAAACGTACACGCACACACACATACACGCACGCACGCACGTACACAGTGTTTTATTTAAATGCAATGTCAATATTTTAGGGAGTAGATTTATACACTAAAAAAGTATATGGACATGTTCTATATATTTTAGTTTTCGAGTTATAGATGATTAAAGGAAATGTTCTTGGTGTCCATGCTTCGTGTTTTAATACACACTACTGCATTGTAATATTGAAAGATATTTGTAAACATTAGATAAGGTCACGTGCTAAGATGTGCAATAGTGTCTGTTGAGGCACGAGAAGGACATTTAGAACATTTTCTTTAATCATTCATAACTCAAAAATTAAAGTGTGCAGGACATATGTTTATGTTTTTATTTATTTTAGTTAGGTGTAGATTCACCCTAAATATTGACATGCTATTATAAAACACTTAGTATACTATACAATATACGTAACACGCACGCACATATGTGTGTTTGGTTTTATAAATAATAATTGTGAGTTATTTTGTTTAAAAATATTTAAATATAAACATTTAGACTTAAACAAAAGTTTTAAATTTGTTAAATTTGTTTGTAGTGAATCTTTATCTCTTCACTGGTATAATATACATGTATAATATAGATATGTAATGTGTAGATATGTATTTTTATTACAATTTTGTAAGGTATTTAATATATTCGATAAAATGTGATTTTCGATAATCGTTCATGAAATATTGTCACTGGTGTTGCTTTTAATTGTAAGAAATAAAAACATAAAAATAGAGTAATTTAAACATTTTAGTTTTATGTACATTTTCTTAAACAAAATAATTTTAATCAAAAAATTGTTTATAACATATTTTATAAAATAATCGGTGTACACATTTAAACCAAACACACACGCACGCACGCACGCACACACGCACGCATGCATGCAGTATACATTTGATTTTATTATGCGCAGCAAGGCGGTCCGAAATCATGATTGCGATTTCAAGAGGGAGAATATTATTAGCAACGCTATCTCACTCTGTGTTTTTTCTTGCTTCAAGATATTACGTGTTTGCATATGAAAAGTCGAATTTTCAAGTCCGTAAATCTAAAAAGAGCCTCCAACATATGCATATGTAGTATACATATGTAATCTCTTGCGAATAAATAAATTAAATGGACACCATTCTTATGTGAATTATACAATACATGATCTTATATAAACTGTATATTTTCGCGTAATTTGGTTTCCGAGATTACAGGATTCCTTATCTTATTAATATAATATAATCTCTTCTTAATTTCTTACTAAACTTATTCTTAAAAATTGTATTGACAAAAAAATAAAAATGAACTTTTCATACGCAATAACGTAATAATAATGCTGTGCTGTAGCTAAAATAGCTTTAAGATCCTTGAATCCTTAGATTCTTCTTTGCGTTTGTGAACAATTTTCATCTATGTATCTGTGCATCCTTGAATTCCTAGATTCTACATAGCTTCAAATCCTTGGATCTTTAATTCTTTGGAATTCTAGCCCGACCAATTCATAAACTGCTTGATTTATTTCAATCCTTTCTTAAATCTTCCAAAAACGTTTTTGATTTCTCAGAGCTGATTTGTTTCCGATTACTGAATTTTTAATAGCTTTCAATTCTTCTAATATCTTAAATAAAATTCTTCTCAAACGTC